CATCATCCTCGCCATGACTACCCTCGCCGTCGTCAGCACCATCACCAACTGCATTGTTGTCATCATCATCATCATCACGACTACAATGCGAAAATATGGAAAGCTTTGAGCATTGGCTCGCGCCCCGCTCTGAAGTGCAAGCACCTCGTCTATGTCCATAACTCGGAGCCTGCAAAGGGTCGGAGTAAGAGGATCTAAGGCCCATCGGCTTGCGGTGCAATTTGCCAGGTTTGGGATTTGGGGGTTTCCGAAAATAGGGGACCCTACTATAGTACCCTAAATAGTAGGGTCATTATTATAAGGAGGTACCCTGATTTTCGGACACTCCCATTTGAGGTTCAAGAGGGTGTTGGGTTTCGGAGGCCGCAGCTCAAACATGCCTCGCGCCTGAAGTTCATGTCCCGAGCTCGGGTGCTATGCTCACGACTAGTGGTAGTACTAGCATGAGTCATGGTGTGGTTCTGGGCCGGATGCCCATTTCTATAGCAGCAAAGCTTTCCCAGACTCAGAACCCGCCTCACACTCTTCATCCCGAGTTCTCCATCCCCCTGAACCCTATAAATCCTACCTAAGCCCTATACCCTGAACCCTAAACCCTAAGCGACCCGAAGCCCTGAGGGCAAAACAAACTCAGGGGAGCCCGGATTGATCCCGAAAGATGAAAGTCGAAGTCTTTCCCAATCCGACCCTAGAGCTCCACTTACCTAGGAGTTAGGATTAGTACCCCTTATACAGTCCCATAACGCCCATATATAACCCCAAGGGTCCCTTTAAGGGTCTCTCCTTTAGTCCCTTGACAAAACTGGGGGTTAGGATTAGTGGGACCCTTGGGGATATAGACCCTCTCAATAAGGCCCCCTGTTAAGAGAGCCAAAAGTAGGGATAAGAAGGGTCCCCTTTAAGGGGTCCTAATACTACCTAGGATTACCGAAAATAGCTACTGTAAGGGCCTTGATAGCGAGAATAGGATCTCGGGCCCCTTTGAAAACATAAACAGATATTCAGGAACCCTCTAGGAATAGGGCTGGTCATTCTTGAGGCTTCCCTATTACTAAAGTTATTGAGTTGTATATGTTGGTAACCCCAGAGGTACATGGGTAGTTCTCTAAATTGGGGGTCCATTTTTGGGCCCCCTATATAGTACGGCACCCTTATCAAAAAATAGAAAAAACCTAAAAGGGACCCTAGTCTAGAACTACCCATATACCCCTTTTTAAGCACGGACTTGCAGTGAATGCCGACCCATATACCCCTAAACCCTAAACCCCTAAACCCTAAACCCTTAAAGGAACCCTAAAAGGGACCCTAGGTTTTAGAGAACTAACCACGTGGAGAGCCCTGTGGCTGGAAACCGGGGTTCGGGGTTGGCCGTGGGGCTGCAGGCCTCGGATCTTGTTTCGAAGTGCTTTCAGAGGTGTCTTGCGTGTTTAGGGTTTAGGGCTTTTTTCCCTCTTGCATGGCTGAGGATCCAGGGCTTAGGGAGGGTTTAGGGTTTAGGGTTGGTGATAGGGATGCCGTAAGGTGGAGAAGGTGGGTTTGTAGAGAGCAGTATTGGCTAACTTAGCCTCAGGGTTTGTGCTTTGAGGCCCTGCTAAGGAGCCCAAACGATGATCCACGCCGATCGCAGCAATAAACCCTAAACCCTGGACAGCAGCCTGCTCTGGAACTGTGGGTCCTTGCGCGCACCCTCCACAAGTTCCTGCCGGGCTGACGGGCCTTTCAAGGCTCCGTTTTAAAGTTCGTGTCAGGGCTCCTTTAAGGGGTACTTTAAAGCAAAAACTACTTACATACTACATAGCTAGATGCGTGGTTTAGGATGTACTGATAATTACTTTGGTGCTCGACATGCTTCTTCAGGCTGTAGGGGTGTATTTTGGGGTGTACTGTCATAACCTCAGCGCTGCAAGGATACTATAAAGGCGACTCAAGGGGCCCTGATTACACCCCTCAACTCCTATAGCCCGAAACCCAAAGCCTAGAACACAAAACACCCCAAATCCTTATAGCAACCAGCATCCCTTACAGTAGCCCTATAGCAACCCCTTATAGTAGCCCTTTGCAAAACCGAACCTCCAGAGTGACACGTCCACTTCCATCTGTGTCGATTCGCTCGAAGATTTTCTGCAAGAACTTCCTGCGCTTGGTTCACTGGGTTTGGGGTTTAGGGTTCTTGTCAAGGAACTTTGTTCAAGTTACCACAACACGGATCTAAAGTAAGTTATCGAGTTTCTTTAGTATGGCAGCTTGTCTTAAACTCCTTAGCAAGAGCCCGGCTACGCGGTGCAAGAACTATAGGGCTTTGTTGGTTTGGGTTGTACAAGGTTTGATACAAGGCTTGTTTGGAGTTTAGGGTTTCACAGTTTACCGTTGGTTTTCGCAATCGTGACTCAGGGTACGCGTTCCATTTTGGGCCGAGGGTTGGGGATTCGGGCTGCTACAGAAGTGCGCAAGATTTAGTTGTCGGGTTCGCCAGCCTTACCCAAGCAGCAACTTCTGCACTGAAGAGAACCAGGGAGAGATTGTGATGTTTAGCCTATCCTTACTATGAGCATCCCCAACTCATGTAACCAACCCTAAACCTGCACGCGGGACCCTACACGCTTGTAGAACCCCCCTCTACTTCTCCAGTAGCCCAAACTCAGACATCCAAAACCTCGCCCAAGAGTGCTACCTCCAGATAAAGTGAATCCACCTGCCGGGGTCTACTAGGGTTTACATGGACCTCCAAACTCTGTAGAAAATGGCCTTTTATAAGTGTCGGGCTAAAATTTTACTTACAGGTTCTTTTTTCAGGGCTTAGGGCTTATAGGGTTCGCAGTCAAGGAATGAGGGATTCGAGGGCTTAGGGTTTAGGGGTTTATGAATTGAATTCTTTTGGGCCAGTCTCAACCAAACTCATACCCTCATACCCAGGCGGTCTTGTCACTTTCGATCTCATGCTCCATCTCTTCCGCTAGATTCAACACATCTCGTTGTCGGACTTCTGCGAAAGTGTCCACCTCGGCAAGGGCGGGATGGTACACGGCCTTGTCTTGCCACACCACAACACCCCTATAATAAACCAAAAAGCCCCCACCCACCCGCCCCCCCTCCCCCAACGCCCCCCACACCCGCTACAGCGAAAGACTGCATCTAATTCGAGCAACACCTCGTTTTTCCTCTGGGATTTTGGGCGCAGTTCAGCAGTGGCACAGATTCCTTACGAGAGCTGCTAATTACGCATATACTTTGAACGATCTCAAAACCCATCTTAGGTACTATAGTTGTTATTCTTGTGCTGTTGGCACGAGGGCTATAGAGGAGGGCATTGTGAGATGTGTACGATGTACGCAACTATCTTGCCTTGCTCCCGGAATTCAACATATTGCAAGAGACATCGCCAGATATGCCTGTAGGAGTAAAGGTACATCACACATATGTGTACTGATTCACATGCGCTTATGAGTCTACGCCTACAATTACATCAGACAACAGCAGGATCTAAGCCATGTCTGTTTCTCAGCTCAAAGGGTTTTTTCTCGGGTTGACGATCTGGGCTGAATAGCTTGCGGCTTGTATACCTTTGGGACAGCCTAAACCCTAGTGTCGGTCTTGGCTAAAACAATCTAGGATCTAGGATTCAGGATCGAGGCAGTTGGCGCTCTTGGCACACACTAATTAGTTCCCTTACAGGCGTATGCCTGTAATGTTTGAGGAAAGTATTGTGAAAGAGTAGTTACGCATGCATTGGAGGTTCGGACACTCCCAGTTGTTCATGTTAAAAGCACAGATCAGCGTTTCTGCATGGGCGCGAAACCGATCAAGTCTAAGCTTGCAGGCACCACGGTGAGGTCCTACATGTCGAACACCGCGCTTTTCGAGTGGGGTTCGGTACTCAACTTTGTACAGAAACGCGGGCACACACGCACACACGCGCACACACACACACACATACATACACACACACACACACGCGCGCACAGTTCACACGATTTTGCAGAAGGATACAGTCGCAGCTTTACAGTCGCAAAACACCAAGCCTAAATCTGCAGGCATACTGTTGATGATATAAATCCTGCACTACCGTGGAAATTAGGGTATATTCCTTATTATGGGTAATGCAGGATATACACCATCATCCGTATGTATGGCATTCCAGAGGAATTCTCAAATCCTCAAACACCAAACTCCTCGCGGGCGAACATACCTACTGACCAAACTCAAACTCCTGCAACCCATATGCAACACAACCCCTCGGCCGAAACAAGGTAAACACTAAACCAGTATGAATGGGTGTTGCTGGATTTTGCCCCGGCTTTCAGGCTAAACCGCCAAGACGAGCCGAGCGGCGACAACGGCTACAATTAAGTTCAGCACGCCAAAGACGAGCGTCAACAAAGATCCTGATGCATGTCCGATCTTGAAGATGGGGGAGTACATGCAAAGAGCCCATAATCATGGAACATCATGTCCCGTCTTCAATCTCAGCAAACCATTTTTAATCAGGAGCTCTATACAAGCAGCCAGGAGCCACACCGACCCCAAACCTTAAACCCTAAACCCTATAACCGAACTAAAGCTTTCTAACCCGACACTCGTGGACAAGACACTCATCTTTCGGTTGCACGGTTGCATTTTTTCTTGTGGCCCGTCCCCTTTGTTTAGCCAGATCACCTGGGTCTGATGAACCATTGAAGGGCCAGGGCTTCTTAATCGGGGGTCTGCGCTAAAATTGCTGTGGTGGCCGTGGTGGCGGTGGTGGTGGTATGGTTTCAAGATCGTTCGTTGTCGTGGCAGTGGTAGTTATTAGTAGCAGCAGGTCAAGGAGGACCGTGACGTGGCGCATGGGCGTTTGTAAGCCGGGCCGAAGGCAGCGGCTTCGTTTGGCTGACAAGGGAACTGTCGGCGTAGCCCAGGGTCGGGTCAAATTTTAGGTCGAAAACAAGAGACGATTTCAAGACGGTTTAGGGATTGGTGTAATGCAATCCACAAGACGCACTCTCTCACGCAAGGGCTGGCGCCTACGAAGATAATTGCCGTTCCCGGAGAGTACTCGATCACGGGCACAGCAATGTCGCCCCAACTGTCCCCTGCGATGACCTCAGAATGTTTAGGGTAGCTCTCTGAATCAGGGTCCCGTTTGGGGTCCTCTTTATCGGGGTGCCGTACTTAGGCCTTAAAACGGGGCCTTAATTTGGAGAACTATCCTTAAAACCGGGCCTTAATTTGGAGAACTATCCACGGGCACTCGCAAAGTGCTCGATGCAAGCTTTTTCAGACTCAGCACACGGACACGCCAGACATCCAATTCACAGCGAACCCCGATAGCATGCGTCCGTGGTTCGTGGCACGCGGGTTCCGAAGTTAGACTTTGGGCGGTCTCAGGCTGGGTTTAGGGTTTAGGGTTTAGGCTTCTCAGGCTGTAGGAAGCATTCTTATAAGCTTCAGCATCATGGGCTCAAGGAAGTTCAAGGACACACTTTGCAAGCAGGCTGCTGTCTGAAATAGAAGCAGGTTCGAGTCCATGACGGAAGAGGTCGCTTTCAGGCACGTCTCGCAATCCTCGCAGCAAGGCGCAGGATGGGTTGGCACCTGTAAAGTGTTACCATTCCAAGCTCGGAGCCTTCCTTAAGCCCTAGCTTGGGTTTTAGTTTACCTATAGTCTCCATTGTAGTTCCTTTTTGTTTGGTTTAGCAAAATCGATAATAAGGGTCCTATAGGGTAACCCCAAACAGGAACTACAGTCGAGACTATAGCTCAACTTTTTCTGCATGTCTTGACTCGACCAGAGCCAAAGAACCAGCTCACGTCCAAGATCTTGCAGCTGGAGTTATACTATCAGTTGGGGCGTGGCGTAGCTGCTGCAGTGTATACCCATAGGCTCCCTAGTAGTTCCTCTTTGTGGTTTATACTTAAAATCCTACAAGGTAACCCCCAAAAGGAACAGGAGTCGGTGGCTTCTAAGTTGGTGGGGGTTCCGAAAAAAAGGGTACCCGAATATAGTACCCCAAATCGTAGGGTCCTTATTATAAGGGCCCCAAAAGAAGGTACCCTGATTGTCGGAAACTCCCGTTTGCTCCGGATCATCTTCAGGAGGGCAGCCGCAAGCCCTAAACTGAGCCCGAAAAACCCCAACATCCATAGCCCGGAATCGCCGAGCTGCGACTCTGACGTTGCAAAACACGGTTTAGGGTTGAGGCTTTAGGCTCTAGGGCTTTAAGGTTTAGGGTTGTAGGGTTTAAAGGGCTTTAGGGTTCAGGGTTTTAGGGTTTAGGATTTAGGCTTTTAGGGTTTATATTAGGGGTTTAGGGGTTTAGGGTTTACGTGACGAAGCAGTGCTACTCTGGCAAATCCCACAAGAGCTCCGCAACATCAAGCAGCGTTCAGGGTTGGCGGCTCAGGAACTAGTCAGCTTCGTAGGGCTGAGGGGCACAGCGTTGAGACTTTATATATCTCAGGTCCCCAAAGCCCTGAAACCCGAAGCCCTAAACCCTAAAACCCGAAGCCCTAAGCCCTAAACCAGTTCCTGTGCGGTTTTTTGGTTTGGGGCTTACCCAGAGAGGCCAATACCCCTTAATGAAGGAATATACCTCAAGTCGTAATATTAAGGCCCCTATAATTTAAGGCATACATATTCCTTAATTGAGGGGTATTGGGCTCCCGGATTAAGGGGGCTCTGAATTTTGGCTGCTCTTGGGTTCAGGCCTGAAAGGCCACCTCGGCGAGCCGCATCTCCTTCATGATCGGGTGGACTATTTCCACCAAGAGCATGGCCCAGATGGTCATGATCACCTCGGAGAAGGAGGAGTGTTTAGGGTTTAGGGTTTAGGGTTTAGGGACCAACAGCATGGCCCAGATGGTCATGATCACCTCGGAGAAAGGTTAGGAATAGGAGTTGATTCCTAGTGCTGTGGCTTTGCTCCTCCGCTCTCCGGGGCAGATGCTGCGTAACTACGGCTGATGATACAAATCCTGCATTACCCATGATAAGGAATATGCCATAATTCCCCATAGTTTGAGGTCCTTAGCGTAATGCAGGATTTGTATCATCCACAGTACACCCGCACGCATCTTGGAATCGTTGCGATTGCGGTTGGCATTCTCAATGCTGTCAAGTACCCTAAACCCTAAACACCAAGCAAAAACCCTAAACCTTAAAAACCCTAAAGCCCTAAACCTAAAAGAGAAACCCCACAACCCACAACCCTAAACCCCTAAAGCCCCCAAAAAAACCCTTCCTGCACAGCTGGCACCACAGGTCTCGCAATGGAGTTCCACAAGCCTCAACCCTGTAGACTACAGTAGAAGCCCAAAAGTTGGAAACCCAATAGCCTCAATCCTTAAGAGTAACGTACAAGGAATCCCAGCACTATTTGTCCTTAATCCGGTTTCCAACTTTTTGGGGTTTACTATAGCCCTTCGGGGGTCGAGGCTGTATCGTTCGAAGCCAGACCTGGGGCTCTAACTACCTACAGTTTTTTATGGGTTCAGGAGGTTTAGGGTTTAGGAGTTTAGGGATTCAGGGTTTAGGGTTTTTTTGGTGTTTAGGGTTTTGGGACTCGGACTACAGCTTGATGGGTTCTACCTACTAATTCAGGGGTCATGGCTGCTAGACTGCAGGCAAAGAGAGCTACAGGTAAAGATTTTGCAGTTTCTCCGTAAACCCAAACCCTAAACCGTAAACCCTGAACCCTAAACCGCGGCAGGGGTGCAGGGTTCAGGCTCTGAGGTCTGAGGCTTGCGGTTAGGAGTCTGCTCAAAGAGGCTTGTAGGCTTCGGGTTTAGGATTTAGGGTTTAGGGTTAGGGCTCGTCAACCACCCACTTCCTCAAAAAAACCAAATAGATCACGGCCCAACATCTTTCCAAGGCTTTGTTTTCTACATACTTCGGGGGTCCAGGCAGGGTTTAGCCTTGAGGGAACCCCCTAAACCCTGAACTCCAAACCTTTGTGGGTCTAGGGTTTGCCTTTCAAGTGGGGGCCAAGCAAGAGGCAAGACTTTGAGCTCCCCTTCGCAAGCAGAGAGGTCATGGGTCTAGTGCAGGGGTACTTATTCCAATATCTATCAGCTTCTCTATCTGTCTACTAACCTGTCTATCCATCTATCTATCTATCTATCTATCCTTCTATCTATCTATCTATCTATCTACCTATCTCGAGAAAGATAAATAGATGGATAGATAGATATATATATATAGAGAGAGAGAGAGATAGACAGACAGACAGACAGACAGACAGACACACAGGCAGACAGACAGACAGACAGACAGACAGATAGATAGATAGACAGATAGATAGATAGACAGATAGACAGACAGACAGACAGACAGACAGACAGATAGAAAGAGAGATAGGTACTTGATTGGAGCCTATATCCAACTCCCGAGCCTTCTTATAACTGGGAGATAGGATTAGGGGGACCTTTGGGGATAGAGACCCTCTCAATAAGGTCCCCTTTAAGAGAGCCACAAGTAGGGTTCAGAAGGGTCCCGTTTAAGGGGTCTCCCTAATGCTACCTAGGATTCTTTTTACTCCGAAGCAGCAAACCCGAAACTCCTAGACCCTGGAAGCCCTTCACGCTAAGCCCGAAACCACTGAAGCCGAAACCCTTATAGCCGAACCCAGAGACTCCAATATCCCTGAATTAAGGAATATACTTTAAAATATAATAGGAACCCTCATAAGATTTTTTGGTATACCCCTTAATTAAGGGATAGTGGAGTCTCTGGGAACCCATGAACCGCTGTAGGATCCTTCTAGGCCCATCACGGGTCAGTCGGGGAACCCGCACCCCTCAACACCGTAAACTCTAAATCGCACATGCCGGCTCCAGCGACAAAGCAGAAGATGAAAGACCAACCAAGCGCCTCCCGGGTTAGTCCCCTTTATTGCCCTAAGGTACCTTTGAGGATTGCTTCTATAGAGGTCTTGTAAGGGTGCTGTAGGGGCACCGAAAGGGTACAGGGCTCCATGCACCTATATCGTGTCTATTGCGTTCCTGAAGGGGCTTTATGTAGGCATCTCAGAATCAATGTCTATACTATACGGGCACATGCTTATAGGGCCAGGGACCTGCTCAGATTCGGGTTTCGATGACCGAGAATTTGTGAACCAACTGTTCATATCAGGAATCACTATGACATTATGAAGAAGGGTCATTGGGATCGGGGGAGTTCGCATTTCAGGTTTGTAAGTTTAGTGCTTGTTGGGCCTGGGTTTCCGGGGTTTTAGGCTTCGGTGTTTCAGGATGTGTGTGGTATTAGAAATCACCGGCAGAAGCAACAAGTCAGGCTAGGATAAGCCCAGCAGGGTTCCTACTTACCCTACATACAAAGTCCTTTGATGCTTCAAGGAGTCGAACACAACAAATTTGCTAAAAGGCGATGCGTGTAGGGGTTTAGGTTCCACGACCAGCGAAGATGAATGTGCTGGATGGCCTTGATAGCAGGGACTGTGCGAATGACGATGGGTAGATAACTTACAAACCGGGCTCGGAGTAGCAAGGTATGCATTGAAGGTAAGCATCACGCGTTTCGTGGATTTGATTAGGGTTTAGGGTTTGGGCCGCGCTATACTTGGCTTGTAAAAAGGGATGCCTCAGCAGTAGAAACAAGGCCTTCAAGCACGTCGCCATCATCGTCACGAGCTTCTGGAGCTCGCGCAGGGCGCGAGTCCTATGTGACAGATGCAGCCAACCAGGATGCAATGCGGCTCAAAAAGCCTTCAGTTTCGGGCTCAGGGTTGGGGATCTAAGCTATATATCATATATCTTCTGGCTCCAACCAATCCAGCAAGTTGCGTGGAACAAATGACCAACATGACTGCCCCTGAACGGTTGAAGGCTTCTAGCTCGATACTAAACCAAATCTATACTAGAGCTGAATGCCGGGTTGGATCAGCCTGCCCTCCACAAAACAAAGCTTTCTGTGCTTTTCCATATGTTCTCCCAGTCTGACTCAAGAACTGCTCCAAGAGAGGCCGGTGCCGACCGGGAGGGTTAAGGCTTTAGGGTTTAGGGTTAAGGTTTTAGGTTTTAGGGTTTAGGGTTTAGGGTTAAGGGTTTAGGGTTAAGGTTTTAGGGTTTAGGGTTTAGGTTTTAGGTTTTAGGGTTAAGGTTTTAGGGTCCAAGTACCTACGGTTGAGGGTTTGACAGCAGGGACGTATTCGGAACCCGCAAGGAGTACTACTGCTGACAAATATGCAGGCCTCTGCCTTCCCCGAGGCTCCACACACTCTTGCAATTTGTCCTGAACTATTTATTTCTACAGGGATTCTTATCAGTATGATCAAAAGGTTGCGGAGTCTCTGGCTGAATGGGGATCCAAACGCAAAAAAAGTCCTACTTGGGGTTTGGTGTTGTAGGGCTTTTTGGGGTACTTAGGGCTTTTTAGGGCATAGGGTTTAAGGACACGGCTTGGGTCTCGGGATTGGGGGCTTTCCGGTCTCCTCCGAAGTAGCCGCATCAGGCCTGGCAGAAAGGGTCCGAGGGCCGAAAAGATGATTTTGTAGGGACTTCACTGATTAGAACAGGGCCTTGGTGCAGTCTATCCTATAGCTCTCATAAGAGTTACAAGGGACCACACTATGTGGAATATAAGGGCCGGAGGATTGCAATTGTTTTTTGGGACCAGTGGTTGCTAAATCCGGCAAGACACCGTGCCTGGTTTTGGTGACCAACAATCATAAGCGCCACGAGCGGGAACCACCCGGAATCACTTGCCGAGGTCGTTGCAGGCAAGCGATAGGGATTAGGGCTAGAAATCCGTAGTTGAACGGTCTTTCTTTTTGGGAATTTGACAGCATCCGAGACTTGTCCAACCCGGAATCTGGATCGCTCGGCCTCCACATGGACGGATAATGCTAAAAGCCAGCCATATAAAGGAACCCAGAGACTCCAATATCCTTTAATTAGGGAATACACCTCAAATTATAATAGCAACCCTAATAAGATTTAAGGTATATTCCTTAATTAAGGGATATTGGAGTCTCTGGGAACTCCCGCACCGAACCACACACCGAAGCCTCAGGAGGAAGGCAATCAAATTCAAGCCCCGAAGGTCTGGTCTTAGGGTTTAGGTTTAGGGCTTAGGCTAGGTTCCTGAGTGACCCAGGATGATAAGGGTACCCTTTTTCCTAGTATTCGGTTTTGATAAGGAGACCCCAAAATAAAAAAGGGCAAAAGGGTACCACTCAGGAACCTAGTAGGGTTTAGGAAGTACTCTGACTTTGGCTTCTGCCTACCGAGCGGCGAATAATTCGCGCCAAGCGCAAGACTCGAAGCATGCTAAAGCTCGCAATGAGATCGCCCGGGGCGAAGAGATTCCTGAATTGGGATCTAGGTTTGGAGTTTCGGATGTTTAAGGTTTAAGGTTCATGGGGTTATTTCGGGCCTAGGTTTCGGATCTATGGTGGCGTCTTTAGGGTGCACACAAGGTTGACGGGTCTGAGAGCCACGGCTTCCGCTGTTTTGGAGCTACTGGGCTTAGGATTTTGGCGATGAGCTGTTCAGATCACGAAACCCCTGTATTGTGGAGGCCCTACTCTGTTACCCTTATAGACCCCTTAAGGGAGCCCTGCTCTAACAATTTAAGCCCCCACAGTATACTCATGTGTCCTCCGGTAAAATCCGAAACCCTAAGCCCAAAGCCCCCGACTTAAGAAAGGAGCTTAAATAACCAGAACAGGGTTTGGGGGTATGTTATACTATAATTAGAGACACGGAACCCCTCAAAACCCTATTCCAAGCCCTTAAGCCTCCGACTTCGGCTCTGCAAGCACAGAAGAAGACTTGGGCTCGCAGAGAGCTAAGATCCCCCAGGTACCTAGGATTAAAAAACTTGGTTCCCGGAGTAGCCCCTTAATAATAAGTGTACGCTTTTCCTACTATACTCGGCTTTAAGAAGACCCCCAAATAGAAAGGGCGGGGAACCTAGAAAAAGGGCTCTCCCTCTGCTTTAGAAGGAAGTCTAGCTGTAGTCTCCATTGCACTTCTTTTTTTAGGGGTTATCTTAGCTTACTTCCCCAATAAGCCAGGGAAATAAATGGCTAAACTTTCAGATTACTACTAAATTATAAGAGCCAAAAAGTTTGAAGGTTGGGTATTGGGGAACTAAGTTATAGGCCCCTAGAAATGAAATTGGCTAACCCGACACAAGGACTGTAGTGGAAACTATAGGTCAGACCACAACAGAAGAAAAAAAAGGGGGGAGCGTCCGGTTGGGAGAGCTAGAGACAAGGAGATGAGGATTCTTGGCTGACTTCTGAACCTTTCCAAAAAGGTAAACATATAGCCTACTTATTATAGTTCATATGGAAACCCAGAAAGTTAGAGTCCTAAGAGCCAATCAGAAGAACGCCAAGGTTTGAAGGCTCCGGAGGTCTTCGGGAAAATCGATCACCGGTGTTCCGACGGTTGAGGGTCTACAGTGCCTACAGTCTCAATGCAGCTCCTTCATCGGCTGCCGTGCGTATATCAACAAAAAACATGTAAGTAGATATATAGACAAATCAAATAATGAATAAATAAATACATAAAAAATATAAACCTATGAATATATATATACATGTATATATAATATATTTATTTATTTATATTTATATATATATATACATACATACATATATATATATATAACGTATACCTGGGGTTCCAAACCATGGAATGTGGTGGGAATATGAGAACTACAGTGGTGAAAGGTGAGCTCATTCAGCTGACCTGAGACGTTGCCACTGCAATGCAGTGCTTGCTGCCCATATCCCACTCAATCCCCGAAGCTCTCTGCGGCTGAGTGAAACCCTGAACCTCTGAAACCTAAACCCTAAACCATGAAACCTAAACCCTAAAGCCTTTTGGAACTTTGGATCCTTAGCTCTAAACCTTTACTTTATCCTCGGGCATCCTACGGTAGTATGTCGATCCCTCTCCCAGAAACTGGCCAGGGCAAAGCGCAGAAGCAACTCTGCATAGCCGCAGAAGATGATCACAATGTCCAGTATGACCATCCAGTCACGCAGAAGCTGCCTTCCTTGCACATACCTTGGACGGAGGACTCGGTGGACAGTCGGGTCTACGTCTGGCTCGGTTTTAGGGTCTGCGCGACTGCATTCGACCTTAGTCATTAGTGGCCACACACTGAGAGAAAGTGCTTTGGGGCATTCTGCCCGTGCACTAGATGTGAGTCTTGCATGTTGGCTGTTAGGAGTTCAGCCGGCCAGCGACGCATCGACTAGCTCACAAAGAGATTCGCCAGTACCTGTCAGACGAAGAACTTCCCTGGAAGCAGGGAAAATGACAGTGCTTTTGTGTCACACCAATGCCAGCAATAGGAGCTTTTAGGAACAGAGTGCTGTTGCCCTCTGGAATCCGTGATCCATCGCGAAAGTTCAATCTTCAACGGTCCGTAGACTGCTGGTCTGCAGGGTACCAAGGCATCAAAACTGAAGAGCCAAAAGCAGACCTCGACACTCTATACATCCCAGGTGCCACCCAAACCACCCAAACTACTTTCCTTCAGCCAAAGCACCACCGCAGGAAAATCTCCAGCCATAAACCCTAAACCCTAAACCCTCTAAACCCTAAGCCCTAAACCCCTAAACCGTTATAGAAGCCTAACTCTCCTCGAGGAACGCAGGGACACGCAACGAGCTCAAGCCACAAACGCCGAAAACCCTACGGTTTAGGGTTTAGGGATTTAGGGATCATGGACAGCAACCACGAGCAACTATCTAAAGCCCGACCTGTTTGCATCAACCCTAAAACCCCTAAATCCTAACGCCTAAAGCCCAACCCAAAACCGTAAACCGTCCAGGACTCTCCAAATAACACCAACCCCCAATTGTCCGACTTCTAAGGCAATCATCCCATTAGTCGCTTGGCTACTCGCGCTCGCGATGATCCTTTAAAAGGGCTGAGTTCTCCTTCAGATGTCTTTATTTTTGTTATTTTTACTACGACTTCCTATTGTCACTATTATCTGGGTGCAGAATTCTGTAGACGGAAACGCGCGAAAGCCGAACACTAGAAGCTTTGGCGTATGTGAGTTTATCACCTTGTATAGGGCTGAAGGGTTTAGAGCTCTATCACTTTTTATAAGGCTTCAGGGTGGTATTTGAGCGACGGTGAAGTTTAGTTTTTCAGTCTTCAGTTTGACTGTTTGCCCATCCATGCCCTCCACCCAAACACTGAAGCCAAGACCCCAAACGAAGAGGCAGCCCGAAACCGGACAGCACACACAGCCACAAACTAAGAAACACAAATCCCGAACCATTCGAAAACTCAATGCTGCACCCCGCTAAACCCTAAACCCCCACCCTCTTTGCACAGGCTTGACTAGAGCTTGGCCCTCCTAAACCCTAAAACCCTAAACCCTAAACCCCTAAACTAAACCCCTAAACCCTAAACCCCTTCACTAAACCCCAAAACCCTAAACCCTATAAGCCCTAAACCCTAAGCCCGAATCCCCAAACCCTATACCCTCTAATTAAACCCTATCCCTAGAAGGGACCCGTCGTCCTAATACCCTATATACCCCCTTGATATACCCCTTATATAGTCCCATAGCGCCCATATCTAACCCCAAGGGTCCCTTTAAGGGTCTCTCCTTTGGTCCCTTGACAAAACTGGGGGTTAGGATTAGGGGGACCCTTGGGGATATAGACCCTCTCAATAAGGTCCCCTTTAAGAGAGCCACAAGTAGGGTTCAGAAGGGTGCCCTTTAAGGGGTCTCCCTAATACTACCTAGGAAAAACCAGCGGAGGCACAGAAGGAGCGCCAGCTCGAGGGTGTACAACGCTAAGCAGAAATCTGATACCTGGAGGGTTTTAGGGGTATAGGGTTTAGGGTTGAGGGTTTTAGGGGTATAGGCTTTAGGGTTGAGGGTTTTAGGGGTATAGGGTTTAGGGTTGAGGGTTTTAAGGATATAGGGTTTAGGGTTGATGGTTTTAGGGGTATAGGGTTTAGGGTTCTAGGGATATAGGGTTTAGGGTTGAGGGTTTTAGGGATATAGGGTTTAGGGTTGAGGGTTTTAGGGGTATAGGGTTTAGGGTTGAGGGTTTTGGGGATATAGGGTTTAGGATTGAGGGTTTTAGGGATATAGGGTTTAGGGTTGAGGGTTTAGGGGTATAGGGTTTAGGGTTGAGGGTTTGGGGGTGTGGGGCTTAAGCAAAAATCTGATACCTGGACGCAGAGACTCCAATATCCGTTAATTAAGGAGTATACTTAAATTTAGAATAGGAGCCCCAATAAGATGTAAGGTATATTCCTCAATCAAGGGATATTGGAGTCTTTGAGGAGGGTCCTTTTTCCCTCTCGCAGGGCTAAGGATCAATGCCCACAAGCGAGGTTGTGTTTGGCAAACTCGAGTTCTAGGAGGGTTCTAGGGTTTAGGGTTTATCGGGGTGTTGGGCCAGTCGCTTCCTTTCATTTTTCAGTGGAATCTAGCGGGTTTCCCTGAACCCTACGTGCCCTAAACCCTAAACCCTAAACCCTACACCCTAAAGGGTTTTTAGGGTTCAGAGCTTTCGCCTTTTATGGCTCTTCTGTAGGGGTTTCTTTAAAGGGATCCTTTAAGGGGGCTTAATTCAGGTTCAGGGCTTGAGGGCGAGGCTGCAGTGTTTAGGTTTGTGGGCACTGGGGTTTGAGGTTCAAGGGCTTTCGGTTCAGGGTTTAGGGTTTTGGGGTTTAGGGTTTTGGGATTAAGGGTTTAGGGTTCAGGGTTTGGGGTTTAGGGTTCGGAATTTAGCATTCAATTGGTTCGTAGAGTGCTTTTGGTGTGAGATGTCGGGTCCTAGGGTTGGTGGACATACAGACATACATGTTCATCTACCGTGTCAGACGTGCGCGCTGGTGCTCAATCTGAACAAAGGCTAAACCCAAGAGAAACCTATAGGAATAAAAAGGGTGTCCTTTTTGGTTTAAAGGACTTTATAAGGGAACCTGAACCCTAAAAAAGGGAATACGGGCCTACTCTGGGTCCTAGAAGGCTCTGGGTTGAGGGCGTGTGTCCGGGCAAAAAACTTCCAAACCGATCGGTTTCCAAATCAGGGCCTTTCCTGACGCAAAGACTCGCAGAGTATTTCGGGCTATTTAGGGTTTAGGGTTTAAGTCGGGGGAGACTTGGTGAACTGTGAATTGCTCCCCCCCCCCATATCGACAAGATCCCGGAACTCCAATTTAAAGTCAATTGACACGACGCCCCCGACCACAATGCCCCCCCGGATGCTCCTGCAGATGGGGTAAGTGAACACCGCCGGAGACTGTGTTTGAGCCCTGCATGAAACCATCTATTTAACGGCAAGCCCAATCCCAAGCCAATCCTAACATCCCAAGCCCTTATAAAGCCAAACTCTGAAATCTTGACCCCATGCCGGAATCCGGAAACCCAAACCCCACAGTAACACAAACGACTGAACTCTCAACCCCCGAGCCACAAAGTACAAAGCCGGAACCCGGAACCCCAAAGCTCAGATCCCGATTCCAAAACCCTGAAACCGATAAAAAGAAGCCTAGGCTGTAGCTCTCAACTCCAGGGCGCTATTAGCATCCACTGTGGAGTCTCCTTTTGAGTTGGAGTTCTTTCCATGGGCTGCATTTAAGGCTCGCTCAAGGGCTTCCGGTTCGGATAGCAAAAGAGCTACGCACCATAAGCTTTCTTTTTTTTACCAGGGTTTCAACAGGGCCGTATACGGTTTAAAATTGGCTCAGCTTTCTTTCAGGGTGCAGAATTCTTCTGAACAGAGCCAGTATTCCCTGACTCCTGATCTTCTCGGCAGTTCAGAACGCCAAAATGCAGACAGCAAGTCCCAACATGGCGGTTACTTCTACAGTAGGTTACTGCTTCCCCGAAGACCCATATGGTTGAGTCAAGTCGAAAAAGCCTCACATAGAAATTGTGCCCAACTGACCCCAGCAGTTTCAACAAAATCCTGTCGTATCTAACCGCTGCGCTGCAACCTGAGCAAGATAAAAGCAAGCAGCACAACAAAGCCTCTAACTTTCAGCACCTGCGCGCGACAGCCATAGTCAAGCTCTACCTGTAACTCTCTTTTACCTACAGTTTAGCAGGCCATGACCCCCGTAATTCGTAGGTAGAACCCATAAAACCGGAGGTAATTAGAGTCCCAGGTACACCTTTACACCAACACTATCCGCAGCTCTCAGGACAGGGGTGGATCTGAAGCCAAGCAGCCCAGCAGACTCCAAAACCTCTTAAGAAACTATGGTTGATGATCTAAATCCTGGATAACCTCATAATAAAGAATAGAGTTTAGGGCCCTTAAGGTAATGCAGGATGTATATCATCAACAGTACGGGGCAATAACCCTTCCAACTGAGGCTTAAGGGTTTATAGGGTTTACGGTTCTTCGGCTTTGGCGCTCTTTCTATGATTTAAAAAGCCATGGCCTGGCATTTGAGTTTAAAATTGGCTTAAGTGCCGGGGGGGGGGGTGGGCTCTGGAGATGCCCTGAATTAAAGGAAACTACAGGTGGGGAGTTTAGGGTATATAGGGCTTCTTCTTTAGCTTCTATAAGGCTCCTATAAGGGTAACTACCCACCTGAAAACAAAAACCGGAAAAAACCCTAAACCCTAAAACCCTAAAACCCTAAATCCTAAACCCTAAGCCGTTCTTGCCCGGGCGCCAGCCCGGCAGCTCGGGCATCTACGTCGGAGCAGGTGCAAAACGCATCGAAGAGCACGACACCCGCCATGAAGTTCGACCTGGGGGTTTCCTCCGTGGGTTTTTAAGAATTAAAAAGTCGTCATAAGACTATACTATTCATGAGAAGAACAACCATAATCATATAAGACTACTATTCATGAGATGAACGACCACAATCACAGTAGTACGAGGTACTAGTCTCCGTCGAGGTTTTGGGGTGTTTTCTTTCCTTTCGCACGCCCTTTTCGGTGTGCCAGGCGTCGAAACCAGCTGGGGGGTAATCACTCCACTTTGTTTCTCAGTTTATCACACCCACAGTGTTTACGGCTTAGGGACTTGTTGGCATCTCAGTTTGGGCTCCATCCCAAGGAAGGCCCAGTGCCCCCAGACTGGATTATCTGCAGCCAACCGCCAAGCATCTTTCTCATCAGATCATCACAAGCCGCAAAAAGGAAGTAGCGTCTCGTGGAACAAGGTCGCACGCAGGATTTAGGGGATACAGGGGTTTCGGGTTACAGGGCTTTAGGACTCAAGGGCTTTAGGGCTTTAGGGCTTGCAGCGCGGCATTTTACTCAAGTTTCCGGCTTCAGGGTCTAGATGCTAGCCAAGTCAAGCAGCAGAGACGGCTCTTCGACTTATTGAAAGCTTCCTTCAAGTGTTCCTGAATACGAGTAAGAGGGTTTTGCAATAATAGCGCTCTGTAAGGCATCGATGAGTTTAGGGTCGAGAGTTTGCATTGCGGCCGAAGTGACACGATTCGCCCTGTCACGATCTTTCGGACTTTGTCCTGGCAGAGTGCCCCAGTCTGGGAGTCTTTGCTCTTGTTAACCCTGCTCACCCCCGCTGAGTTTTGCTGGTCAGCTGCCGGACATGCTTTGCGTGGTATTCAATGCCTTGATCGCGAGAACCTATCGATCTGCGACTGCGACAAACCCTTGGCGTCCAAGGAGCACTGCAACAATTCGGCACTTGGGCTACAACCGAGTACTTCGGTATAAGACAGTAAGAAGGAAAGCACTGCGGGCTAGAGACAAGCATGACTACATAGTGCGTGGACTCCTAGGGAGAGGACATGTGGACTTGCAGCCTAAGCCCTAAACCCTAAACCCTACAAAGGTCCTTCAGCTTGTGCTGGAAAGTGTTCTCTTCACTGGTGACCGTCGGTTGCTGCATGCGGATGAAGTCGGACACAACCATGGTCGGCTTCCTGGGAGCTCAGGGATACACGGTTTAAGGTTTAGGGTTTTAATAGGGTTAAGGGCTCAGGGTTTAAGGGTTTAGGGTTTGAGGGTTTAGGGTTTAGGGTTGAGGGTTTAGGGTTTCGGGCCACTTTCTGATTCCCCTGGCTGGCAGAAGTAACATGCCATACGAGCTCCGGCTCAACTTCCTTCCTGGGCTTGGCATCGAGTGCCAGCTATATGGGGGTTTCCGAAAGTGGGGACCCTAATATAGTACCCTGAATCGTAGGATCCTTATTATAAGAACCCCAAAATAAGGGTGCCCCTAACTTTCGGAAAGTCCCATATCTCACGGATGTCAATGCCTAAACCGTGGCTCTTTTTGTGCGGAAAGCCTCTAAGGCCCTGAACGAAGTTCGACTTGAAGCCCCACCCTTTCAACTCATCATCCCTGACAAACCCCTCATAAACCCTCAACCCTACGCCTAAATCTTCAACCCTAAACCCCACACCCAAAACCTTAGGCCCAAGAGCTGGACAGGAGTGGGGTCCGTCGTGGTTTGGCAGGTAAAGGTTTGGAGCTGATGGTTTTAGGGTTTAGGGTTTTGGGGTTCGAGGACCTTGCCTGGTTTGAGGGCTCATTGCTTTGGGACTTAGCTCCGCGGGTTTAGGGTATTAGGGTTCAGGCTCAAAAACCCTAAACCCTAAACCCTTTTGAGTCATGTCAATACGACAATACTCCCTGCTGTCTTTTGACATAATTGGAACTGGGGTGTTCAGCTGTCACTTCTTGGCTGGAAAACCTGGTCGTTGTGATAGTGCTGATGCCCTCCGGTTCTTGGCATGCCTGCAGACTGTTCCGCCAATTTACCCTGCAATGCGGGCTCGTCC